CCGGTGGAGCCGTCCCTGCAGCTCCGGAAGTGTTCTGCGCAGGCGCGTCACTTCCGGTAGGGGTCGGCCCGCGGTCGTCCGAAAGGCTAACAGCAGGCTTCTAACAAACGCCGAGTCGTAGGAATTGCCTCCTAGCGGTGTCGCGCCGAGAGGTCGCTTTTGAAGGAATGGTGTAGATATTTTTCTCTGCTTTAACCTTCCAGGGTAGCGCGAATTCTAGTCAGTCTTAATAAAAACCTCGACACAGATTTAGGGGAAAGTGCTGAAAAGCCAGAAGCAGAGCAGCGGGCCACTAGTTCTTACCTCAGACCGAACGGCGACCTTGTCTCTAGGAATCCTTACGCTGAATGAATGCATAAGATCCTGTCTCCTCCCCGCTCATACTGCTCTCGCTGCCCAGCCAAGTCCCTTCCTGTGTGTGCACCTCCCTAGTGTAAGCATTGCTGCTCAGATGGGATGGCATGGATTCTGGCACCGGGAGCCACAGAATACTGAGGGTTACAGCTCGAGTGGAAAGGTATTCTGGAAATCAGGAGCCAAGGAATACCAGAGGTCACAGTAAGCATAGCAGCTCACAGCCCTGCCTCAGGGGAAGATTTACCCAGTGTATCTGCTCTGCTCCGGCAGGAGAGGGTTTCCCCAGCTCCAGAGAACGGTGTCTTCATCCGCCAGAAAGTGGAATATAACAACTCTGCTTAGCTATGGGAAGGTCTCCCGGGTGAAAAGTGTTACAGAACTGCTACACTCCACTCTGCTCAGGTGAAAAGGTCTCACCCACACCTGATTCAAGACATTTGGGAGGGACGAATCCAGGAGAGTAGCTGCCCTCTGCCACCCCAACAGCCACAAGGTGAACAGACACAGTGTATTTGTTTTTGTTTTGTTTTTTCGAGACAGGGTTTCTCTGTGGCTTTGGAAGCTGTCCTGGAACTCACGTTGTAGACCAGGCTGGTCTCGAACTCACAGATATCTACCTGCCTCTGACTCCCGAGTGCTGGGATTAAAGGCATGCGCCATCAACGCCTGGGTAATTTTTAATTTTTTAAGAAGTTTTATTAACCTGGAGGTAGTGGCACAGGCCTTTAATTCCAGCACTCGGAAGGCAGAGGCAGGCGGATCTCTGTGAGTTCGAGACAAGCCTGGTCTACAAGAGCTTGTGGTTCCAGGACAGCCTCCAAAACCACAGAGAAACCCTCTCTCAAAAAAACAAACAAAAAAAGATTAAAAATTCAGTGGTACCTGATCTAAAACAACGAAGCAAAGATGGCACTTTTTTAATCCCAGCACTCTAGAGGCTGAAAGAGGATTACCATGAGTGTGAGCCCAGCCTGAACTACATAGCAACTATCAGGACAGTCAGGGCTACATTGTGAGAACTTTTCTGAAAAATACTAAAAACAAAAGCTCTACCTTTCGGACTCAGGAAATAACTCCTTGTGTAGGTCATAAAAGACCCTTACTTGATCTCCCAGACTAATAGCTTCTTGAGCTAGGAGACTAATCTGTATTTGAGTCATTCCAATAAAACAATAATTGAAACTAGAACTAGCGGTCACTCAGGAAGGGGCAGATCTGACACAAAGATGCTCATAAAAGGAAGACTTACATTTCAAATGAGATCTACAGAAGCTGCTGATATCTCCTCCTGATGTACATATTCCTGTGGACCTTTCCTTTCCTTCTCAGTCCTGGGTGGCTGGGTGGCTGGGTGGCTGGCCCCTGAAGTCCTCCTCCTCCTCTCTGGTTCTCAGATCCTTTTCCGCCCAAATTTCTCCTATTTATCCTCTGCCAGCCCCACCTATTCTCTCCTGCCTTGCTATTGACTTCAGCTTTTTACTAGACCATCAGGTGTTTTAGACAGGCAAAGTAACACAGCTTCACAGAATTAAACAAATGCAACATAAACAAAATTAACACACCTTAAAATATTCCCTTCCCCTTAGTGATCCCAGATTATTTGGTTTCCTACTTCTTGGTTACTTCTTTGCTTGTTTTCCAGGTCCTTCCTCATTTATTTGGATTCCAAACCCTGGGAGGGAAAGGGCTCCCTCTACAAGTGTTTCCACTCCCTTGGTGATCTAAGTTTACTGATTAACACCAAATTCAGCCACTAGCCCAAGCCTCTCTTCAGAATCCTGGATCAAGGGCCAGATCTATTAATAGACTTCTCAGACTAATCATGTCTAAAATGTCATTTACCGCCTTCTAATCTGATTCTCCTGTCTCTTCCCCAGCTGCAGTTGAAGGTGACACTCCTTTCTTTACTCAGGTAGAAAAAAACGCTATCCTCACCCATAACCCTGTCACAAACCTTATAAAAAGATATATTTATTCAGTTTTTATTTTATGTGTTTGAGTCTTTGCCTCCATGAATGACTGTGTGCCTGGTGTCCATAGAGGCCCAGAGAGGGTCTCAGGTCTCCTGGAACTGTAGCTTTAGACAGTTGTGAGCTGCCAGTAGGATGCTGGGAACAGAACCTGGGTCCTCTGTAAGAGCATCTGGTTCTCAGAATTGCTGAGCCGTCTCTCCAGCTCCTACACAGGGCTGCCTATTCATTAACTGGTTGTTTGGGTGTTCCTTTAGAACATAGTCACAGTCTGACCACTCCTCAGTACTGTCTCTGCTATACCCTGATCTAGGCCAACATCTCTACTCCTGACATTTAACCTTACGTGCTTCTTGGTTTTTCTGCTTGCTGTTACCACCAGCTAAAGTTAACAGGGATTCTGTTTCGCTTTTGGTTTTAAATTTCATCTCAGATTGTTATTCTCTTCCCAAAACCCTTCGCAGAAGAGACTGATGTCCTCACTGACACACTTGGTTCCTTCTGGTAAGTCTCCACTTCTTTTCTGTCCTCATCAGTTCCCCCCCACCCCCTGGTTTCTCAGACTGGACAGCACAGGCCATCTCAGAATTTTTGCATTTTGTTTAACTTCTGCCAGAAAGGTCCTTCATACTTTACCCAGTGTCTGTGGACAGGACTCATTTCCTTACTCTCTCAATGAAATCTTCTCTTGTCTAATTAGAATTGCAAATTATTTGTCTTCCACACTTTAACCCTTCCCAGATTTGTCTTCCTACAGAGCAATTTTCACCGTAAGATGTACTGTGCATTTTCCCCTTAATCTTTGTCATGGTTTATCAAACTGTTAAGACAGGGGCCTGCGTGGCTGGCACATAAAAGGGTGTATGCGGCCTCTGTGCAGCACACGGTTACAAAGGACCACAGAGGGAAAAAAAAAAACACTCAAGTCCAAGAAGGCTTCCTGGAGGAGTATCCATAGCAGACGCTCCCAAGCCCCTCCCACATAGCGTTAGGGGAAACCCCGCCCACTGGGGGAGGAGCCGCGGCCGGAAGCAGACTTCGGGCGGAAACCAAGCTAGGCCAAGTGGGTCCTCCTTCCGACCTGCCGTAGGCTCCGCCCACCTAATGTAGGCGAAGGGTCAGCGGAGCCTGTGGTGTAGCCGGGGCAGCGGAGCAGGACCGGGAGCGCCCGCCGCCGCCAGGCAGACTGACAGAGACCAGCCATGGCAGACGAGCCGAAGCCCATCAGTCCGCTTAAGAACCTCCTGGCCGGCGGCTTTGGCGGCATGTGCCTGGTGTTTGTGGGGCACCCCCTGGACACGGTCAAGGTGCGGAGTCTGGATGGGGGCGGGGCGGGGGCAAGGCCCGAGGCGACCCCTGGAGTAGGGTCCCCGGGAGACGCTGCCTCAGGCCAGGAGTGGGCGGGAGAAG